GAAGAATGAGTTTTTGAATAGTAATTGATGTAAAGAATGTGTGGTTAAAAAGTAAGAAAAATTTTTGGGTTTATGTGTAATATTATTTTATTTGGAGAATGTGTGGTTAGAAATAAGTACTGTAGAAAAATGAGAATGAGAATGAGATAAAAAATAGGTGTCAAACGGGGGTGAAACCTTGTTTCTCATGTTTCACACATCTCCTTCTATTTGAAATTTACGATATCAATGATGTGATAAAAAGAATCATTAATGTTTAAAATAATTCGGAATGACAAAGAAATGCTTGTCGATAAACAACTTTTTTAAGTTCAATACTAATAATATTGGAAAAGAACCTTGAAAAAAGTTAAATGTCTCACAAAAACTTCAACTGAAATTGAGTTTTTTTAATAAAAGCTTCAATTAATTGATTAAAAAAAAAACTAACTTGATAACGGAGATTAAATTCAAATTTTTAATAAAAGTTGATAAAATATGTAATTGAAAAGTTGTGAATTTCATAAAATATGTTATTGAAATTAATTATTCACTTTGAATACATTAAAATCTTGATTTTTATCCCACAAAAGAAGTCTCTCCAATATGGGTTCCATTAATTTTAAATTGAGTAATACTATTTATTGTCACCGGATTACAATTCCAACTTATGTGACGTTGATGTGACATTTAATGATAAGTAGAGTTAAATGAATTATTTAATTTCATTTTTCATTTAACCTATTATCTAGTATTCCTAGATTGTGATTGCAACCAAAGTGAGGTTACATAATGTTATTCTTCTAAAATTTAAAATTTTACCTTTTACTTAATCAAACATTATTAAAAAATCACTATTACAAAATATAATTTTTCCCAAAAATGTAATTATTGTACTCGCATTAAAACCTTGTGCCTAGATTTATTTTGATATCGCATTATACGCTGTTGGATCTACTACTCTTAATCATGGCTGCTGACAACAAATCGAAACCACCATCATCTCCGGCGCTACCCTGGAGGACTCGCTTCCAATTATCCATCCTCAGTACATTAACCGACGCCTCCCGTCGTCGTAACGGCACCGTTAACCGCTGCTTCCTCAGATTCTTAGGCTTCGGGCTCAGAACGACGGCGAACCCCAATCCTACCAACGGCGTCAGGACTTCCGACGTCACCATCGACTCCTCTCGTAATCTCTGGTTCCGCCTCTTCGTACCCACTCAGTTAGCAGAGCAAGATGATTCTCAGTTGCCCGTAGTCGTCTTCTTTCATGGTGGCGGGTTCACCTTTCTCAGTCCCGATGTCAAGCCCTACGACGTCGTCTGCCGCCGTTTCGCGCGCGAGATCCCTGCTGTCGTAATCTCAGTCAACTACCGGCTGGCCCCGGAACACCGTTACCCGTCTCAGTACGAGGACGGTTTTGATGTGCTGAAGTTCCTTGACAGTGAGAAGAACGTGTTGCCGGAGAACGCGGATTTGTCACAGTGTTTCTTGGCCGGAGATAGTGCCGGAGGAAATGTGGCCCACCACGTTGCAAAACGAGCGTGTCAGTCCAAATTTAATATCATCAAGGTACAGTTCTCAGCCCCCACACCATTATTTTCAAAATTCCAAATAATTTTGGGGAAAATAATTTTACAAATTTCTCGTTCTCCATCCAGGAATTTACGGCAATTTAGGACAAAGTAGACTCAAAATTTAAGTTCAGTTCTATTTTTCCACAATTTTGAATAACTTATTACGATCCATAATTGGTTGTGGACGGTGGAGATGAAGATAACTTGCTTAATTGCTGATAATTTGTATGACACGTGAAGATAATAGGACTGATTGCTATTCAGCCATTTTTCGGAGGGGAGGAGCGTACAAAGGCCGAGATTGAATTACAAGGGATCGATCCACTGGTATCGGCGAGTCGAACGGATTGGTCGTGGAAGGCATTTATGCCGGAAGGGGAAGGAATGGATCGAGACCACGAAGTTATCAATGTGAGTGGGAAAAATGCAACCGACATTTCTCAACTGGATTTTCCGTCCACATTGGTGGTGGTGGCTGGCTTCGACTCTCTCCAAGACTGGCAAAGAAGGTACTATGAGTGGCTAAAGCACAACGGGAAGGAAGCCTATCTGTTGGAATACCCAAACATGATCCATGCTTTTTATATTTTTCCTGAACTACCAGAATCTGATCATCTCTTCTCCCAACTCAAAGACTTCATTCACAAGAATTGTGAAAAAAGCAATTAACATAAGTTAATTGCTTATTTGCTAAATTAAGCTAGCTTTGCGCTGGTAATTGATTATTTAGTATGTGAAAATTGATAATGTACTCCATCTTCGATATTGATTATACTCAAAGAATAAAGCGGTAGTTGTAGCACAGACTTGGAGTATCAATTCCACAGGAAGATGGTTGAAATGCTTAAGGAATCCAAATGATGATTGTTCTTTTGAATGTAGTAAAATTTATTGCTTGAGTGAGATTAAAATCAATGTTTCAGATAGCGAAGTATCGGAATTCCTTCAGTTGGATTGAATAAATCACATCAATAATTCATTCTATTTACTCCGTTAGAGATGTTTTACCTAACTCTCTAGCCAAAAGATATAACATTAAAAATCAATTTGATTCAATTGTAATCTTAGAATCTAGATTTTATATAACACCTATGCCCTTTTTATTGGAATAAGATTCGAAAAACAACCATATGCACCTAGCATAAAGTAGTAATCAATTCACCAATAAATGAAATTAAAATTCAACAAATAGTTCAATTCTTCGATAGACAAAGCATGACTGAATCTATGAAAAGTTTAATAACCATTAAGCCAATCTCAAAATAAACTTATGAAAATAATGTCTAAACCTAAGATTGTTTAGTAAAGAAATATCAAATTACATGAATAACTGATGTAAAATCACAAAATCCAACCGAGTTCTTTCGTAGTTTTACCGAAATTTTTAGTTCCTCATGAGAAATTCCTGAGCTCCAAGGGGTAAATGATGTGTATGTAGGTGTTCTTCTGTATTCTGGGATGTATTAAGGTTAATAAACAAGAATCCCCACTTGTTTCCATAGATGGTTGAACGAGATTAGGAAACTGAATATTCGCCCCCGAACATAACTATGTGACTGCATAGTTAAACTACATGCGGTCGCATAGTTCATGGAAAATTGGTGTCCACGTTCCCTGAAGCAGTGTATGCGGCCGCATGGGAGACAACACTATGCGACTGCATAGTGTTGTGTAACTTCCAAAATTCGCGTTTTAGTCCTCCAACTTGGATTGCTCGACTCTTGACCTCTTTCCTTGTTTTTTCTTCATCCAATGCTTTATTTCTTAGCCCAATTTGATCTTGACATCTTCGCATCTTCATTTCCTCTTCCGGTTAATCTTTTGATTATTTGTATCTTGGTCCCTGAACTTTATTTTCCCTTCTTTTTGGTCATTTTTCCACTCGTTCCTCCTTATTTCCGCTACATTTATCGTGTTGTCCTGTAAAATGTACATTATATAGAATGAAGTTATATTCCAACATATTAATCACCAATTGTCCATGTTTTAACAGTAAAATAAGTGTGCAAAAACACACTTATCAAATTCTCCCAAATTTGAACTATTGTTTGTCCTCAAACAATATTGTAACTTAACTCTACAAAAACATGATTTAACATGCCGTATCTCAAGATTGAAATTTAGTAATCAAACAAATGAACTGTTTCAACAGTGCAGAAATTAAATCAATTTTCACCTGTTACATGCATTACCCGACGTGTGTGTATGTGAAAATTCATGTCAACATATTAAGATCATGATTGACTCAACACCTGACCCATAGTAGTCAAATATTTCCTTTATTCGCTCGAGAAATACACACCCTCAAACTTATGCTTTCACTCAATTTTTCGGAGTGCATCCTAAATTGAACTTATTCAATTCTATTTCTTACCTTCTCTTAGCTTGAATAGATCTCACCATTACAAGTTCACATTTTAGCAAGTCGAGATTCTCCTTTTTTTTATTGCTTCAACCTCTAAGATTGAACTAAATTATTTGCCTCTCATCAAAGATACAATTCTATCAACCAAATGTCTGGGGCCTAATCAATGTAGTTGTGTATTTATTTACTATTTACTTTTTTTTCTTCAAACATCTTCTCTTTTGCTTTCTATATAGCTCATGTAACGAGTTTTAAGCCGATGATCCCCAAGTCTGATGATCATAGGGCACCAGGTTTTAAATCACCCTTACAGACTTAATCACCCGAGTTATATAGACTCGAGAATATGCTTTTATTTACTCAAAAATTAGTACAATGCCAATTTTCTTTTAGACATTCAGTTTCTAAAACTAACTTCTAACTTAAAACTTTCACCTTGTCTTCGTCTCATTGGTTTGAGACAATCCACACAAGATAATTTTCATGCACAGAATTCCTACTCATCTCAATGTTCCTCTGTGATAGCTCAATCATCTCCAAACTATCATATAGTTGGATTATGGATTAATA